CCAAAAAACAGTAACCTGGTAAAACTGCTTCTTTGCAACAGCCTGTATCAGAGCTGCAGCACAGCAAGTGAAGGAAGAGCTTGCATGGGAATGCTGCAGTAAATGCCTCACACGCCAGGTATTTCAAAGCCTGCCACGGGCTTTGATCGATTCCTGCTAAAGCTTTTAGTGCACATTAGTTTGTTTACTGGTCCTAAGAGCATTATTACTTTGGTTTCTTTTTTTGGAGCTATACAAGCACATTGGAAGAGATCTTGTCACAAAACCTGCTGCCTGGGGACAGGTTTTGTCCTTTTAAAAACAACCCTCCTATCCAGGTTTGGAGTAGTTCTAACTCATTGCTTAGCCCAGGTGGCCACTTGCAACTCCTGAATGATCAAGTCACTCTGCACACTGTACACAAAACAACCCTCCATGCAGTATTTAGCGCTGTATTCATACACTATTTAGTACTCCTGAGATTTCCAGCCCACGAATTGTGCAGGAGTCTGCTTTTGCAGTGAAATATTAATGACGATCCCCAAGTCTATATATTGCAAAAGTCAAATAAATCAGAGCAAAAGGGAGAATCAACTCGAGGGCAGGTAACCTTGCAACAGACACTCACAGGATGGAAAGGTCACCCGTTAAAGTGGTTCTATTTTACACAGAACTGCAAAAAATTCCAGTAAGCCTTTTCTTGTCTCCTGTCTCTGATGGCTACAAACATCAGGTGGTTTCAAAGAACCCCCCTGGGAGACTAACTGAAATGTCAGATGCAAGAAGAGGGTTACATACAGCTTCCTCACGCAGTAAACCCCAGTCTTCATCGTTTATGAGCATGGAATTGGGGTGCTGCAATGACACTGGAGTTCTGGGCTATGACCAGCATCTCCTCATGGCTCCTGAAAAGGATCCTGCCTGTGCAAGGCAGAGCTCTCCCTCCTGACCTGCTGCAAAGCACTCATGCTGCATCACTGCACTTCCAGAAAGAGAATCTCTTGCCAGGTAGGATAATGGAAGATTTTGGGGCTGTTTTCATCCCTCCACTGCAGACAGTTCCCACAGAGCCACCAGGTAGGATTAACATCTGAAGAGTGTGGGTTGGGATCCCAGCAATGAGGGCTGAGAGGGTCTGCAAAGGGACGGAGAAGGAAAACACAGACCTTCAGTGAAACATTTATTTCCTTCTCCTATGTATAAGCACAGGAAGATCAGAACTGAAAAGTCGAGGTCACAGCAGTAACTACATGGCAGAATTCAGACAAAAAACAAACTATTCATTAAAACCTTGAAATGATGCGAGTATAAAGTCCTCAGAAACTTCTGCAATCTTATATTCATGACTCAGTATTTGAGGTCAAGAAATTCTAGCAGTGAAAAAAAGGGACAGAAGAGCTGTGTGGGGCAAAGCAGAGTTGAATCCACAGAGATAACATGAGATAATTTCCAGCTAACAAGCCATCAGCCACTGGGTTGTGTCTGAGGAGCCCTGATAGTCTGAATCTGTCTCCAAAGCAAAGCTGAACAGTCAGAGCCACTCAAACCAAGCTGTGTCCTGGACCTTGAAAGCAAAAGGCTGCTAAAAAAATATATATAAACAATTGTACTTTGACACTTAGAGCAACCCTGGGGCCCTGTAAGGTCCCTACATGTAAACCCATCAGCGCTGTGTGTGTTCCACAGCATCACACCAAGACACCAGTGCCAGCATCCCCTCCCCCAGGGTGGACACAGAGCAGGTATCTTGGAGGCCAGGAGCTTGGCTGAAGGCCTGTAGATAAGGTGCTGAAAGACAACACCTGCACTCTCCATTTCCCCAGCTGCAGAAGCTGCCTTGCACAGGCTTTGTGAACAGGAAAGGCGGTAGACAGCTCGCACGCTTTCGGGTGAGAGGCAGGAGGAAGGGGAGCAGCATTTTAAAGCACCCTATGAGCATTACTAACACCCAATCCATCCCAGCATCTTTGTGAGGTTCCCAAAGGCAGCTCAAGCATGCAGCAGGAAAGCTAACCTGCAGCTGAGAAATCCTGAATTAGCATTCAGCTGGGCTCAAGTGCTCCTGCTATCGTGTTAGAGAAAGCCCTATGTGCTCACACCAGGTCGCAGCATTTCACAGCCTGTGTTGTAATCACACCAAACAGTACCATGAAGACAAGAGGTAAGGCTTTAGCCACTCAGAGGAACTGCTCTTCAGGTTTGCTGGGTCAGAAAAGACAGGGATGGCAAATATACTTGTAAAGGGAAGCTTGCTCCTTCCAGGCCTGCTTGGCTTTTACAATAATCAGCAACAATGATTTCCCAGGGTCTTAAACAGGGCTCATGGAAGGCAGGTAAGGAGCACAAGGAGCCAGAGGGTAAATCCATGTTATCATCATGATAGTGTTAATGACTATCAACACAGGAATCAAAGGCAGGAGTGCACTTGGATGTACCACTTACTACAGGAGGAGCTGGTGGGGCTTTTGTACTGACTGAAAGCTCTCTTCAAGACAAAGTTTTATTACCTATTAACATCAGTTATGGTGTGCTGGGGTTTAAGCACCTACCACCTCCAACAGGAAAGAGCAACAGCAAGCACTGAACTTCTAGAAGCATCAGTAAGAGTGACCGGCGGACTTATTCCCTAGCTGAAAAACAACATGTAACTGGCCCAGAGTTTAAAGCCAGGAAAGCTCAGGGTTGCAACTGGGTTCAGAAAGCTGCTTTTAACCTTTGCACTGGAAGCTAAAGGTGTTTCACTACCCTCAAATAACAACACTCAACTCTATCTAATCCATACACCAGGGTTTATAGATCTTCAAGTGCTTGACAAACAGGGGAGAGACAGGAACAAATCTAACACACAAACCAGGCACAAGATGGGGCTAGTTGAAGCCCTGGCATCACGAGCACCTTTACCCTCTGCCCATTTCAGAATTAAGAGCTCAGGGAAATACACGGGTGACACAAGCACCCTCTCAAATCTATGGTTTAGCTGTGACCAGCACAAGTCAACACTGAGGATGTCAAACAAGGGCCTCACAGCCAACGATGCTAAGAGTCAAAGGCATTAAAAGAAGCACCTGCAGGTAACAACGGCCAACAGCACCCAAAAGGCAACAAACTTTAGGCTCAGGGCACCCATGTAGTTCCCACAGTTTGTACCCCCTCCAGCACAGACAACAAGCAGCACATCAGGCTTACCTGGCTGGTTCTCACACATCAGTGTAACCCAAAGAGGGCTGGTCCAGCAGACAGCCAAAAACCCTGATTATAACCACAAAATGGTAAGTCCCATAACATGTTCCCAATGGCATCAGGTTTGTTTTTAGCAACCCCGAGCTGCAGTGCAGATGGCACACAATGCCTCTTGATTTTGTTACCGGGCAGCTTCCCAGATGGAAAAATCAATACAAGTACTCCTCAATCCCTCAAGCACTCAGGAGACTTCTCTGCAGGTTAAAGTGGTAGAGATGCCTACACCAGAGGAGAACCACCATGAAGAGGAAAGACAGTTTATTCCCGTAACTGTCCCCAGTCTAGCTTTTCCTAACACTGCAAAGGGTTCAGTTACCAAGCGACTGAAGTCAGAGCTAGCACTCTGGGATTTGGGAACCCAGCAGCAACTCCTAAGTCTGTGTTTACTCACCCAAACCGAGGTGGCTTTGTTTAGGTGCTTAAACCACACTCACCCTGGGACAAATCCTTGCTGCAACAGCACATAAAGATTTCACTGGAAAGCTGCAGTGACTGATTTGTGGTTCTTTAGAGAAAGAAGGCTTTTATTTTCCCAAGGTAGAAACCCATCACGTGGCAGTATCTTTTCTGAATACCTGTTTTCATTTTCCTTATCTCCAACCGGTCACGTGTGCAATGACACTACCACCTAAATTTAGCTCATTCCGTTAGCAGTTGCAATCCCACCGATGCCTGTAGGACTGCAACACACCTTTCTTCCTCTCCGTCTTCCCTCTCTCCTTCAGCGCACAAGGCCATTTCTGCACCACCAAAGCACACACCATACCAGAAGCCTCCCAGCTCGCCTGCCACCCCAGACGAGGGCCAGGACCCACTGCAAGGCCAGTGCAGGCCTGGTTTGTTCAGTGCAACGCCCATTCCTCGCAGGCCCCTTTGTGTTATATTACAGTGCCCCCTCGCTCGCTTTTGTCTCTGTACTGTCAGTCAGTGTATGCCAAGCGAACTTTGGGAAGTGGGAATGTTCTGACACACACCTACCTACACCTTGTGGCTCTTCACATGGAATCAAGAGGTCACAGATTTACGCATGGCTCAGCGGCGGGGGGGACCTGCTCACGTCAACAAGGGCAGATCCAGACCACAATTGCTCCCCGCTGAAATGTGAATGGGGAAAACCCCACGTCGAGGTTTCCCTATTCAGCTGCTGACTCCCTGAAAACAGGCAATGACGACACTGTCCATGAAGGCAGAGATACCGGCCCACGTTCCCAGCATGAGGGATCTGGAAGCTCACACAAACCACCTTCACAGGCAGGCCTCTCTCTATGCCATTAAACAGCAGGAGGTGTCCCTGCCTGCGGACCGAACTGGATGAGCTTTAAGGTCCCTTCCAACCTAAACCACTCTAGGATACACTTCTATGATCAAACCCCAGCACCTCAGCCGTGCTCTGCCACCAGCAAAGGCCAGCAGCAGCACCCACGCCGGCCTCCCAGAAGGAGCGCAATGAAGGAAGGGAAAGGGATCGGGATTTCAAACTCTGGAGGACCCCGTCCACCTTCCTTGCGCAGGCCGCGGCTCCACAGCGGGCAGGGATAGGGTAAAGCAAGGAAAGCCGCAAACCCCCTCCGGCGGGGGGCTCCGGAGCAGCGGACACCGCAGCCCGCGGACCGAAGAGCAGGGGAGGGGAGAGGAGCCACCGGCAGCCCGCGCAGGCCCCTGCCCCGGGAGGCCTCCAAGGCGGAGCCAGGCCCCCCCAGTGCGGGCCACACGCGGGCGCAGAGGCCGCGCCAGCCCCCTCGTCGGCGGGAGCCGGCGGAGCCCGCGGCCGCCCCGCTTACCTTGGTCTCCTTGACGTGCTGCTTGATGCCCTCCGGGTACCACTGCACCCGCACGTAGCCCCGCCGCAGCGGGCTGGCGCGGCCCTCCTCCGCGCCGCCGGTGCCGGGCCCCCCGGACTCGGAGCCTCCCGAGCTGGCGGCGCCGCCGCCGGTGCCTCGGCCGCCCTCATCCGAGTCCTCCTCCGAGTCCTCGCCGTGGATGAGGCGCACCAGGCCGAAGCGCACGGAGCCGCGGTAGCGGCCCGACACCAGGTCGTGCGAGAAGAGGAGGCGCTGCGAGCCGCCCGGCGGGGCCGGCAGCGGCAGGGCGGGGGCCGGGGCCGGGGCCGCCTCAGCGGGCAGGTCCGCCATGGCGCCGGGAGTCACGGCAGAGCGCGCGGGGGAGGGGAGCGGAGGGGCGGGGTGGCGCGGGCCGCGCGCAAGTAACGGGGAGGGAGGCGGGGCCAAGCGAGGCCACGCCCACAGCCAGGCCCGCCCACCGCGCTGGAGGGGGCGGGGGCGAACACGGGCTTGGGCTGCACCATGTCCCCTGTTAGCGGGGGAGGCTGGGCTGCACCATGTGCTCGGTCACCGGGGGGCTGCACTGCAGCATCCCCATGTCCCCAGTCACTGGGGGTAGCACCGCACCATCCCTGTGTCTCCGGTCATTGGGGATTGCACCGCACCATCCCTGTGTCCCTGGTCATTGGGGATTGCACCGCACCAGCCCTGTGTCCCTGGTCATTGGGGATTGCACCGCACCATCCCTGTGTCCCTGGTCATTGGGGATTGCACCGCACCATCCCTGTGTCTCCGGTCATTGGGGATTGCACCCAGTGCCTCCGGTCATTGGGGATTGCACTGCACCATCCCTGTGTCTCCGGTCACTGGGGGTAGCACCACACCATCCCTGTGTCCCTGGTCATTGGGGATTGCACCGCACCATCCCTGTGTCTCTGGTCATTGGGGGCTGCACTGCACCATCCCTGTGTCCCCAGTCACTGACTTCATTTGACTTCATTGACTCCAAGGGATTTTTTTCCTCCTCTGTCTCCAGAGAATTTTGAAATGGAAATGGTTTCTCGAGCTGGTTCCACTGCTCTGGCTGGTGAAGGGCTGATGGAAGCCGAATCAGCCATCACTGCCTGGACTTCACCCACAGATCCTGCCTCTTTGCTCCTTAGGTCTCCCCACCTGTGCTGGTGGGGATTCCTTGGCTGGAATATCAGGAAGATGCCGGAATCCTCAGTTTTGCTGCAGGAAACAGGAGCTGCATAGCAGTTCTTTCCCTCTTGCCCTCTCCCTCCCTGAAATGCGAGGATGCTCTGCCTCAGCTGGATCAGTTCTCCTTCCAAGTTTTCTCCTTTTAGGAAAAGCAACAGGGAGAAAGGTCTTCCCATGCTCACCCCCAAGATTCACCACCCCATGAGGGAGCAGAGCCCCTCTCCTCAGGTCTGCTGGGATTTTCCAACCTTGTAAATGGCCCTAAACCGCTGGGAAGCAGCTGGGATGAGGCTGGGGCATCTGAGTGGTGAATGGCTGAGGGATGCACTGGGAGCCAGTTCATCCCTGCATGGTTTCTCGGCTATCTTGAGCAGCAGGATGCTCTAGGCGATGGGAAGTACAAACTATTCCCATCCTGCTTCCAAATGGGGGAGTTGCAGGCAGAGAAGCTCTCCCAGCACCCACCTTCCCCTGGGCCAGCCTGACCTTGACACCAGCATTTAACTGCTCACTAGAGCATCACTTTAATCAGAGGGCTGGGGTGTTGATGTGGTTGAGCATTCCTTGGCATCACCCCCAGGGATAAGGAAGGGAACAGAGCTAAAAGGGACCACTGGGTGGGAAAATAGCGGCCTACCCTTGGGAAAAGGCAGTTTAAATATCCATTCAGTGCCATGTGGTTATGGGGCTGTTTACGGGGATGTGCTTCTTGGAGCACAGAGCTGTGTCCACAAGCCATGACCTCTGTAAAGTGGAGAATAGATGGGATGAGCTCAGCACTTGCTCAGCACACGAGTGCCTCCAGCACAAGGATTTCACCCTCTGAGCATCACTGGAGTGGAGCTTGCAGCACAGCTCCCCAGGGCATTCAGCTCCTGTTGGAGCTAGGGACCAGGGACCAGCCTCTCTCCCGGTGCAGTCACGGTGAATTGTGCCTTTGTGTGAACAGGATCAGGCCTCTGGGAGGTGCCCTTTGGCACTGGTGCCATGTTCTTCTCAAGGCTCCAAAGCACAGCTCTACCCAGCGCTGTGATGCTTCTCATCTCCTTAATGTACGTCTTACAGCCACTAATAAAATAGACGTACATGTAATGTGCGTAGTTGTGTGTGTAGATGAAAACTGTCCCTCTTCAGGGCAATTACATGCTGAAGAGCAGCGGTGGGGTTTCAGGTAGCCATAAATAGCCATGCAAACAAGCATATTATACAACAGGTCAGTCTCACAGCAGTAGGATTTTAATGGGGACAAGTGAGGACCGCTTGCCTGTTAGCAAGAGTTGAGCCTGGGTGGTTTTGCACTGTGATCCCAGCTGGGGCCCTGCCGTGCTTCCATAGGGAAGTAGCACTGCTCTGCAAAACACTATGGCAGACCCAAGAAGCATTTTGCATCCGTGTTTTTCTGGCAAATGAGATTGATTCAGCAGGAGGTCTGAACACAGGAAGTGTGTGCAAGTGACACATGTCAAGCAGCCCCCCACTGCCTCGTTTAGGGACCATTTCTGCTCTTAGGCTGATTGGGAAGTGATGGCTTTTGCTTTGCAGAAGAAAATCCTCCCTGCAAGCAAGCTGCCCCTGAGATCCAGCCTCTTTATGGCTGTTGGATCACCAGCATCTCCCTGTCAAGGCACTGGTGAAAGGCAATCTCCTTCTCTCCTCCTTGGGAGCTTGTGCACCTCTCATGGGGCATCTTTGTACACGCCTTGCAGGAGTTAAGGAGCAGGTGCTGGGATGCCCACTGGGTACTGGGATGTCCAGAGGGCACCAGGATGCCTGCAGGGGGCCAGAGATGTCCAGCGGGTGCCGAGTACCCAGAAGATCATGGTAATGCCTGCAGGGTGCCACTGATGCCCGCAAGGTACCGGGATGCCCAGTGATGCTGATGATGCCTGCAGGGTGCTGGTGATGCCCGGGGATGCATGTGGGGTACTGGGATCCCAGTGATGCCCAAGGGTGCTGGTGAAGCCCCGGTGGTGCTGATGATGTCTGCAGGTGTTGGGATGTCTCGTGATGCTTGAAAGACCCCAGTGCCCTTTGATGCTCGGTGATGCCCAGAGGGTCCCGGTGCCCGGTGGTGCTGGTGATGCTCGGTGATGCCCGGAGGGTCCCGGTGCCCGGTGGTGCTGATGATGCTCGGTGATGCCCGGAGGGTCCCGGTGCCCGGTGGTGCTGGTGATGCTCGGTGATGCCCGGAGGGTCCCGGTGCCCGGTGGTGCTGGTGACGCTCGGCGATGCCCGGAGGGTCCTGGTGCCCGCGCTGCTGCGGGGCTCTGGTGCCACCTCGTGGGCTGCCGCCTGCCGCCGCCGCGCAGGGTCTGGCCCGGCCGCTCCGGGTGTTGCGGACGGGCGAGGACGGCACCGGTTCGCCGGGCCAGAGGAGCAGGAGCTGTGCTCGGGACCCCTGCCTGGCGCTGCTGGTGGAGCTCAGAGGCAGGAGAGCACCGTGAAACTGCCCCCGGACTGCTCGTGCTCTTCCCTCAAAGGCCCGTGTAGAGGAGGAGTGAGATTCACCAGCCCTGCAAAGGCACGTGTTGATGTGGTGCAGGACAAAGCCAGCGCTCAAAGCGTGACCAGTGCTGCGATCCCAAACAAGCTGTGAAGTAGCATCCCTTCATCCCTTCATCCCTTCGTCCCTTCCCCAGCTCCCTGTGGGTGCTGCTGAGGGTACCAGCCCTGCAGCCTCGCAGAAGGGCATCAGCTGCACTGATGGGTCAAAAGGAATATGGCAGAGGAAAGCCACATACATGTATATTTGCATGGTTTATATCTCTATTATATATGTATATTAACATTTCAGAGCACAGAGCAGAACCAGCCCCTCTAGGGTCTGGTTAGAGCCTGGGGCCTCTGGCCACCATCCATGGGAGTCCTGAACCTCTGTTCCAGCACAGCCCCAGCTCCCAGGCTCTTAACCTGCACCGAATGTCCCTCTCCAGCACAGAGACCTGGACCTGCTGGTGAGTTCGACCTGCACTTGGCAGCTCAGCACGGGAGCACTGAGGGATAAAGCAAAGGAGCCACCCTGGCAAGTGCTGAAGATGCTGAGTATGCCCAAAGAGCCACATCCTGCTGTGAAGGTACAGCAACAACGAGCACTCCATGCTGCTGCTCCATGGCAGCTGATGAAAAGGCAGGAGGCAGCAGAGAATGGAATCAGAACCAGTGGCTGACCTTGCAGTGATGTCCCACTGCCACCCCTCTTATGCCACTGCTAGGAGAAAAGCGTCACCCTCTTGGGTCCCTATGGCTAAGCCAGGGGAAGGTGTGAAACAGGGATGTAAGCAAAGCATCCAGCTTGGAAATTACAGGAGTAAATATATGAGTTTGGCAGAGAAACCTCCCCGATGATGGCACTCAGGGGAGGACCCTGGTGCCACCGTTGTCCCCTGTGATGGCAGACCCTGGGCTGCGTGCGTGTCGCTTGAGCCCCAAGTCCTGGCAGAGCAGGGGATGTGTGGTCGATCTGCACTCCATGTGCCACCCCTCTCTGCACATCCCCCCCAGAGACAAGTGCCACCTTCCAGAGCAGGACCCCAGCAGAGGGACCAGCCTGGCTGCAGCGACAGCTCAAGGCTCTCTGAAGATGCTAAATGTGTCAATCCCAGCACACTGCTGTGGCTCTCATTTAATGGTGTATTTGACCCTCTGCAGCTGTGTAGGAGCAGGGAGAGATGGACCCGGTTAAAAACACCTAATGCAGCATCCCTGCTTGACTATTCCAGCCATGGACCAGCCTCTGCTCTGCTGGGCTCAGTCTAAATGGTGGGGAGTGGCTCTGGAATGGCAATTCTGAGGAGCAGAAAGCTGCTGGGTTGTATTTCTGTTTCAATTCCATGAGAAGCAGCTTAAAAGAGGGAGATAAGGGAATCTCTCCCTTAAGGGGTCACCGTACCCATGGCTGGAAATGGAAGCAGGACCTGAGCTCCCCTGGACATGTCTCTGGTGGAACAAAGCCAGCTCTGCCTCCTGCTCCAGGCTCCTTTCAGGGCTGCATCTGGTTCATGATGATAATGATGATTCCAACACCATGCTCATGCCTGGGATAATCCCCCTTTTATTACACACATCCTGACAAGGACAAATGTTGCTGCCTTTGCCTATCCAGTCTCTTATGCAATAGGAGGCTGTGCAAGGGAGGTGCTTGGTCTTTGGAGTAAGCTCCTTGGGGCAGAAA